ATCTGCCTGCAGTATGCAAATTAGCTGCCATCTTTGTTGGCGGTTAATTTGCATATCGCCCTGATTAGCCAATGGGAAGGGTAGCGAAGTTACGGTTAATTACCATGTTTGTCTATTATTAGATAGGACATATATATACATATGTATACATACACACACACACACACACACACATAGTAGTTACAGGCATTTAGGGAATTTCAACCTAGTGCCTAGGTTACATTTTCTGAATTATTTCAGAATCTTTGACATTGGTCAACATACAAGATAGTAATTATTGAAATAGTATGTTTTTATGTATTACTTTGCAAAAATTTTTTCATCTGCAGATAAATTAACTTAGCATTCAGAAGCCCAAGATCCTGAACTAAATCATTTATGGGTATGAAAACACTTTGAAAATGTACTATTCATACGCAAAATATAATTATTGCTATGTTAAGAAAACAAAATCACTTCTCAACTCTTTCCCCTTCCCTTTATTCTCTTATTACTTTGAACATCCCTGTGGGCATTGCCTTAATTATCATCCTGTTCCAAAGAGGATACAACTTAGAAGTCAAAATTAGCACTTCCTCAAGGAAGAACCAAATATTCCTTCCCAGCTTATGGATTTGGCCATCAATTTATTTTATTTTTTTTTATTTCAGAGAGAAAAGGGAGGGGGAGAGAGAGAGAAACATCAATTGATTGGCTGCCACCTGCACACCTACCACTGGGGATCAAGCCTGCAACCTCGGCATGTGCCCTTGACCTGAATCAAACCCAGGACCCTTCAGTCCGCAGGCCGATGCTCAATCCACTGAGCCAAACCAACTAGGACTTGGTTGTCCATTTTTTTAAACAGAACCAACCGGCCTTGCTTGGTGTTCTCTGGGGTTAGCACCTGGAAATCTGCATTCCTAGGGAGTTCTCTACAGGGGCTGTTCTCAAACTTTATTGTGCTGCAGAGTCTTTAAGCAGTAAATTGAGGTCTCACAATTATTCAGATGTATTACTTTGTCAGCTTCACATCATTAGAGGAGTTCCATGAGGAAAATGAATATGGCCGGACTATAGAATAAGGTAGCTGTTAGTCATATGTGGCTGAGCACTTCAAATGTGGCTACTGTAACTGAGCATATGAATTTACTTGAATTCAATTGTTTATATTATACTTGAGGCCCAGTGCACGAAATTCACGCAAGGGGCTCCCGGCCCTCACAGCCCCAGCTTCATCTGGAAGGTCATCCGGAAGGATGTCCAATCTAATTAGCATATTATGCCTTTACTATTACAGATACAGAAATGATTGTTTGGGGTAGTTGGATTAAATTAAATATCTAAAATAATTAATTTCACGTTTCTTTTTTACTATGGATATGAGAAAAACTTTAACCTGCTTTGTATTTGTTGGACAGGATAATCTGTCCCACTGTTCCACATTTCCTCCCTGAGTCCAGAGGTACTCCGTCTCTACTGGGGAAGGCCTGTGGGCTTTCCTTACTGTCTAGTCTTCTGTTTACATTCTTCTCTTCAGCCTCTGCGAACTCGTCTATTCGAAGTTTTGACAAGCAGAATTAGTGTCTTGTTTGGGAAAGGTTGAGAGCATCTGTTACAGAAATAGCAGTCTCTAAAACTTGAGGGTTGGTGGGTTTTAAATTGTAGTGTCTGGAATAAACCCTGTTACCCTCCCCTGGTTGTGGTCCTGGGGTTTTATGTCCAAGATCTCCTTTATTTCCCTCAACTGTTTCCTAACATTCTAAACGTTAAATCCTTCAGTGGTTTAATTATTTTTGAATGAGAAATGGTAGCAAGACATAAAGAACCTAAAATCATCTTGCTCCTGCCTACTGTTATTTGCTAAGAGGAGTAATTAATTGACTGGCAAAGCTTGTTAGTGTGTGACAGTGTTCAGCAAATCACAGTACGATAACCATGTCAAAGTTAAAAGCCCTAGTACCATGGTCGGCAAACCGCAGCTTGCGAGCCACATGCGGCTCTTTGGCCCCTTGAATGTGGCTCTTCCACAAAATACCACGTGCGGGCGCGCACGTACAGTGCGATTGAAACTTCATGGCCCATAAGCAGAAGTTGGTATTTTGTGGAAGAGCCGGTATTTTGTGGAAGAACCACACTCAAGGGGCCAAAGAGCCGCATGTGGCTCACGAGCCACAGTTTGCCAACCACTGCCTATTATATTTTTACCACCCTTGATAATCCTTATATTTGTAGTTAGTACCAATAGAATATTGTGCCTCATACATGTAACTTGATAGCTATGTATCATTCTTAGGTGTGATTGTTAATGTTTAAACCAATCCTTGTCTCCCCACTTAATTAACCACTTAATTTAAAGATGTGTTTTGTTGGTTTCAGTAATTGCCATTCTTTTCATTATTGGATAATCCTCCAGGAGGTACTTTCTCGAATAGGTCTAATTAGATGTTCAGTACTATCATTCTCATATGCACCCTGAGATCTGACGCACATTGGCATCCAGCAGATAGTAAGAAAATGTTGAAAGCCAAAATAGAAATGTTAAACTACTGTTCTTTATATTTAAACATTAGACATTTTCCATGTTCTTTCTTCAAATTACACTTCTGCATAGCTGCACTTCCCCACTTGGGTAAAGGTTTGATTTTGAAATGTTTTATTGTTGTCTTTTCCTGTATTTTTTAAATAAGGACGGACAGGGCAAAAAGGAATGAACTTTACTGTCTATTTGGATTTTATTTAATCCAGCTGCCAATAAAGACTATCCCAGGGGTGCTTTGCATATGATCTCTGTTGCCATATTTTTTTGTTGTTGTTGTTGTTTTCCAACTTTTTAAAAACAGAAAAACATTCTTAGCTTGAGGGCAGTTAAAAACGGGGGTTGGGCCCTAACCGGTTTGACTTAGTGGATAGAGCGACGGCCTTCGGACTGAAGGGTCCAGGTTTGATTCCGGTCAAGGGCATGTACCTTGGTTGTGGGCATATCCCCAGTAGTGGGTGTGCAGGAGGCAGCTGATCGATGTTTCTCTCTCATCGATGTTTCTAACTCTCTATCCCTCTCCCTTCCTCTCTGTAAAAAATCAGTAAAATATATTAAAAAAAAAACGGGGGTTGGGCTAGGTTTGGCCATAGTTTGCCAATCCCTGGACTAGCCTACTGAATATCATTGAAAGCTTAGTGAAATCATGATTGCAACTAGATCCACTGGAATACATTTTGCTAATAATCAAGAAATCATTTTGTTAAGCCATGTTTATGCTTGAATCTTAATTAGAAAAATTATAAAATTGCCATTATAAATTACGTTGCCATCCAACGTTATATCAGTAGTATGAAAAGTCCTATGAAGAAAAAAACCCAGCTGATACTTTTGCTTCTGAAGATGATTATAGATAATTTTTAATATCATTGATTTCTTTCAGCCAACCTCAAGAGAATTTGCAAGGCAATTGTTGAGGCACCAAGTGATGAGGAGAGACTAAAGGCTTTTGCTCCCATTCAGGAAATGATGACCTTTGTGCAGTTTGCTAATGACGAATGTGACTATGGCATGGGGCTAGAGTTGGGAATGGACCTCTTTTGTTATGGTTCACATTATTTTCATACAAAAACCCCAAACCTCCCCCTGTTCCCCACTCCCCCTCCCCCCCCACACACACATGCACATTACATATCTAAGTTTTAGCACAGGTAGGGTATGTATTTCAAAAGGAGCTTTTTGAAGTGATTTTAAAGCAGATATTTAAAAAATACCTTTTATTTGAAATTCATCTTATATTCTGGCAAAGGTGACTTACCAAGATTATTTGCCTTCAGGTTTACATTAAAGTGAATTTACTTTAGATGTATTAAAGGAACATGCATGTGTGGGTACGTACACACCTTTCCCAGGGCTCCATTTCATTTCCTACTGTGATGGAGGAGTTATTTGTCCTTGTGCTTGAATTCCTAGATGAAGAATAAATACTATTTTAAAATAGCTTTAGCCTTAGCCAGTTTGGCTCAGTGGGTAGAGCGTCAGCCTGTGGACCAAAGGATCCTGGGTTCAGTTTTCGTCAAAGGCACGTACCTTGGTTGCAGGCTCCTCTCAGGCCTGGGCCCTGGGCAGGGCTCATGCAGGAGGCAACCAATCGATTTGTTTTTCTCACATCGAATTTTCTGTCTTTCCCTCCCTCTTCCACTCTCCCTAAAAATCAATGGAAAAATATCCTCGAGTGAGGATTAACAAAAATATTAAAAATAGGCTTTAAATTACTTAAAATATATGAGATGCTAGTTAATTATTAGCTAAGTAAATAGGACAAACCTACCCAACAGTTTAGTCAGTGCTTACTCAACTATAGTTGCCTCAAGGTCAAAGAGGCAAGAAGGTGTAGTGGCTTCAGTGTGTTTCTAGGGCTAACCTGTTCGGTTTTAAATTACATCTACCCCACTTAAATGCTTTGTAAAATTTGGCAATTTTTCCAACACCTTTTTTTTTGTCTCCTTACCTATAAAATATGTCTGCACGCAGACCATTTAATTCCTGTGATGTCACCTACAAAGCACAAAGAGGTAAACCACCTTGCACAGGCAGTCTGGTTCCCGAGTCAGCATCTAAGTTGGTGATTCCCAAACTGTAAAGAGCATAGGAATCACCTAGAGATATTCAAATGCAGGCTCTGTTTCAGTAGATCTGGGGTGAGGCCTGAGAAGCCACGTTTCTGAAATGCTCCCAGGTGATGCTAATGCTGCTGCTGTGCACATACTGAGGAGCTGGACTAAGCCAGCAGCTCACGTTAGCGTACATCAGTCATCTGCAGGGCTGTTCAAACACAGATGGCTGCATTACCCTCCTCCCCAAAGTGTTTCTTGGGTCCTGAGAATTTGTAGGTCTGGTGAGTCTCATTTGAGAACTCTGCTTCCTCTAAACCACATTACTGTCTTTCCTCTGCCTTCCTCATTTATGCTTACCAGTAAAAATAATCCAAATATTTAACAACCAGAATGACAGCCTTTGACCAACCAGAACAGTGCTTGGCCTGCCAGGAAATGAACCAGTTTGATCAAAAAAAACCTGATTGTTGTGAAAAGTTAAGTAACATATAAGGATATATGAAAAGGTGTTATTACACAGAACCTAGCACACACTTTCCCTAAATAGGAAAGTAAGTGCTAATTCATGTTTACCAAAAAAGCATTGCCAGTTTTTCTTCTAGTAAATAACAGCAGTAGTCTAAGTCACTTGATAACCCAGGCAGGAGCTTAAAGGATAGAGGGGTTTACATGGTAGGTGGAGGAGAAAGAATTTGAAAAGGGATTGGTTTGAAAACTCAAATTCAGCATACCTCTTCGTAACAAGGTAAAAGCATTTGATTACATAGTTTGGAGCAGAAAAAATAAAGGTTGATCAACCTTATCTAAGGAAATAGGGAAGCTTACGTTTTTAACTTGGTTTTCTTCTGAATTTCCTTCAGAATATACCATTAGTCTTTTAGAGCTACAGAATTGCCACTTGGACAGAATGCCAGTTGTCTGTCTCAAAATTCAGTCCTAATCAATTGAGAAAGTAGCTAAAATGATTTGGGGAGTATGCTTTGTTAAATGAGTGCTTTTTAAACCTATTTTCTGTTACCAGGGCATCTGCTTTATTCTCTGCTTAATGTTATTTTATTTTTCAGTATTTTCATACAGTTGCTGGCCAGCTTTTACCTCTTGCATACAATCTGTTGAAGAGGACTCTCTTTGCAGAAATTATTGAAGATCATCTGGCAAACAGAAGTAAAGAGAACACAGACCAGCTTGCAGCATGAGAGCTGGCTTTCCTTGGTGTACAATATTTTAAAGCATTAATATTAAACTTGTGATTTTTGTTTGTTTTTAAGGGATACAGAAAATAAACTGATGGAAACATTTACTAAAACTTTCTATAAATCTCTTCTGGTTTTGTTTTGTTTTTTTAATTGTTGACAGAATTACAGATGTCTCCCATTTTCTCCCTTTTTGCCCCCCCTCCAACGAACTCCCACCCTATTTTACCCAATCCCCATACTATTGTCTGTGTCCATGGATTATGCATGTATGTTCTTTGGTTAATCTCTTCCTGTACCCTCCCACTGAGATCTGATTTCACATATAAGAGAGAGAATGTGATATTTTGTCTTAACTGGCTTTGCTTTGCATAATAATTTCCAGGTTCATTGTTGCTGTCTCAAAAGGTAAGAGTACCTTCTTTTTTTTTTTTACAGCTGCGTAGTATTCCGTGGTGTAAATCTACTTTTTTTAATCCATTCATCTACTGATGGGCACTTGGACTGTTTCCAGATCTTAGCTCTCCTATATAATAAAAGCCTAATATGCAAATTAACCAAACGGCAGAACAACCGGTCACTATGATGCACACTGACCACCACCAGGCAGATGCTCAATGCAGGAGCTGCCCCCTGGTGGTCAGTGTGCTTCCCCAGGGGCTCCTGGTGAGCGCAGTAACGGGAGCCTCTCCTGCCTCCACGGCAGCACTAAGGATGTCCGACTGACAGGAGCGGGCCTAAGCCGTCAGATATCCCCCAAAGACTCGTGGACTGCAGGAGGGCGCAGGCTGAGCTAAGGGACCCCCCATTCCAAGTGTATGATTTTTGTGCACCGGGCCTCTAGTTGTAAATAATGCTATTATGAACATAGGGGTGCATATATTCTTTCTGGTTTCAGGATTTTTAGATATATTCCCAGAAGTGGGATCACTGGGTCAAATGGCAGTTCCATTTTTAATTTTCTGAGGAACTTCCATACTGTTTTACACAGTGGCTACATCAGTGTGCGTTCCCATTAGCATTGTACTAGGGCAGTGATGGCGAACCTTTTGAGCTCGACGTGTCAGCATTTTGAAAAACCCTAACTTAATTCTGGTGCCGTGTCACATATAGAAATTTTTTTTATATTTGCAACCATAGTAAAACAAAGACTTATATTTTTTATATTTATTTTATATATTTAAATGCCATTTAACAAAGAAAAATCAACCAAGAAAATGAGTTCGCCTGTCACCTCTGACACGCATGTCACAGGTTCGCCATCACTGTACTAGGGTTTCCTTTTCTCCACATCCTCGCCAGCACTTATTGTTTATTGATTTGATGGTAGCCATTTTGGCAGGTGTGAGGTGATCCCTCATTGTAGTTTTAATTTACATCTCTGATGTTAGTGAAGTCAAGCACTTTTTCACATGTTAGCCATCTGTATGTTCTCTATAGAGAAGTGTTTATTCAGATCCTTTGCCCATTTTTTAATTGGATTGTCTTCCTGGTGTTAGGTTGTATGAGTTCCTTGTGTGTTATGGAAATTAACCCCTTATGATGTATAATTGGCAAATATGTTTTCCCATACAGTAGGTTCCCTTTTCATTTTGGTTTCTGGTGGGTTTTTTTTCATGTGCAAATAAATGGTAGTCAAATCATCTAAATGGTGAGATCCCAATCACATTTGAAATTCATCCTCTAATGTCACAGGAATTCACCACCTAATGCCTAGATAACCAGACTATCCTCTCCTCCCAGGAGTCCTTTTCAATATTTAACATGGGCAACTAATAATTTATTTCTGAGACTTGAGTTAATAGCTGTAGCTTTAGAGATTAGATATATGAAGGGTGGGAAAGGCACACCCATGATACTGTACAGTATTCTCCTAGAGTGCCTGACCCCACCTAATGAAACTGCATTTTAACAGGGTCTCCTGGTGACTCATGTTTTCTCCCATGGGAATATTCTTTAAAACAATTCTCCTACTCAGTCTGTATTACTAATCATATTCCATAGTATACATATAGTACTAGGGGCCCAGTGCACAAATTTGTGCACCTTGAAAGGAACTGTGGGCCACAAAGCTGCAATGGGCATAGGGGCGGGTCTCGACCCATCTTCCATGCCCCTGCCCAGCCCCTCCCACCCCAAATGCTCTGGCACCAGCTGTGGGTGTGAGCGGGACCATTGCCAGCAGCGGGTGCGAGACACGGCTGCCGGTCTCGATCACCCCTCAGGAGCAGGGGGAGGTGGAGAAACCCTGAGGGGCGATTAGGGCCGGCAGCTGCCGCTCGCACCCACTGACAGTGCCAAGCGATTGGGGCCGGCGCCGGGTGCCGACAGCAGGTGCAAGCACCAGGTGGGACTGCAGGGCATGGGAGCAAAGTATTTTCAGTAACTGCCAGAGGCTCGCCCCAATGACAGCGACCGGCACCCCTCCTTGGTCTGGCTCACCTGCTCCACCATCTCGCTGCAGCTGACGCCTGCCATGTTCCTTGCTCTGCCACCTGCTGCCAACGCCTGCCATGTTCCGCACGTGCCCCCTGGCGGTCAGCGCACATCATAGTGACCGGTTGTTCGGTCTAGTTACATATTAGGGTTTTATATCCTATATAATAAAGTGGTAATATGCAAATGGTTGTCATACCATAACAGCTCAGACATTCAACACGGGAGAGAGGAATGGGGACCAGCCAGGCTGAGGCCCAGGGGAGGGACAAGCCGCCTGCCCTGCGGTCCCAGGTGCCTGTGGCTGTGGCCTGGGCGAAGCCACCTTCCCACGGTCCCCTGCGGCTGCGGCCGACCCAGGTGAAGCCGGCCCAGGTCGTGGGTGCCTGTGGCCGGCCAGAGGGAGGGAAGCCCAAGTCCCAGGTGCCTGCGACCAGCCGGAGGAGGAAATCCTGGGTGCAGTGCAGGCGAGGCAGAGGCAGTTAGGGGCAATCAGGCAGGCAGGTGAGTGGTTAGGAGCCAGCGGTCCCAGATTGTGAGAGGCAGTCGGACATCCCCTCAGTGGTCCCGGATTGGAGAGGGTGCAGGCTGGGCTGACAGACACCCACCCCCCTACGATTTTGTGCACCGGGCCTCTAGTATATAGATAATATAACATAGAAGTCAGTATACTATTCATTTAGATTTTAGTTTTCCATTGCAAATTACTTCATTGTACTTCCAGTACAAATCTGTGTTTTACCAGATTCAGATCCTCATTAAACCTGACAAAATGTCCTTCACTTGAAAAACAAAGCAAATCATGAAGTGTAAAATAGCAAACATTGTGGATTAGGCTAAAGAGCCCATAAGCTCTTTCCCTTTCATATGGACTACAGGAAAGCCCTGAGTTCATCTAGTTTAGTTCCCACATTTTGTAGTCCCCAAAGTTACCTACTTTGTGAGCTGTGTCCTTAAACAGATGTTATGAGATACTTAATGTTTTTGATAAAACATATGAGTGGACTATTAAAAGGAAAAACTTCTAGTCAGGAATTTTAATGCCTCATCTCCAATTACGCCATAAGTATACAGCCCCCTCAGTAAGAAAGAATATACATGCTGGAGAAAAAACAGAACCATTAACCTCAAGTTGGTCATGCTGCTGCCCTTCATTCCTACTTTCACATTTTTCCCAAACATGCAACAGATCCTCCATCCTCAGTTTATTTCACAGAAAACAGAAGCAATCAAAATAACTTCCATGAAATCTCACCACATTACTACCATTCCTCATTCCTATGAATGTTGCTTAGTGTCCTGCTGTGTACCCCAGATGACATCCCTTTCGGCTACTCAAGGACCCCTCAATTGATCAATTTCCCTCTTACACATTCCCATCAAAAATGAAAGCTATAATGTCCTGCATCTTAAAATACCCTTTATCACACATCCCTTTTCTGAAAATCTCAGGAGCTCTAATAGCTGCCCTTAATTCCTTCCAATCTCTGGCAAACCTGTTCCGATCAGATTTTTGCCTGATCCCAGTAAAACTGCTTTGGTCAAACTTGTTATCTCCACTCTGGCCTATTTTCAGTCCTCATTTACTTGACCTACCAGTTAAAACTATTACTCATTTACCTTAGGGAACTACCCTTCCCTTAATGGCACACACCCTACCCTACCTCACTGGCTCATTGTGGGGAGCAGCTATAGGGTTAAGCCTCAGAGTGACCTCTTGGCAAAGTCACAAACAAGTCCCAGCTTAGAGGGCACAGTCCTCTTAGCATAATTAGGCTTGACCTTATGCTCCCTAGATCTTATCTGGGAAGCTAATGGGCTGAGGGAGGTGCAGGAAGTGGCCAAAACAAGTGAAACTCACAAGAACAGTGTAACTATGGTAACCACTACCTTGTTTACCTCTGACTATAAAATAAAGGCTCAGCTTGTCTCTGGATCTCTCTTTGTGACCTCAGCCAGGCACAGTAAGATCCACGGAGACTAAAGAGAACTATGCTGACCATCTGAACGCTGTCTCTGTGTAACTCATTCTTCACCAACTCCGTCCACACCTTTGGGAACCCCTGGACTGCTGGGGCTGGACCCCGGCAGCTCATCTCAAATCCAAACATACAAATGCATCAGTTCTCAGTCCTTTCTGTCCACTTCCTCCCATGGTGACCCCTTCCTGTCCCAGGATGCTTCCCATTGTCTAAGTATCTCAGGCTACACTTGGGAGTTTCTCCTCAACTTGTCTCATATGTACAACTGCCTGGTGGACATCCCCACTTAGACGTCTAAAAGGCATTTAAAACGTAATGCCTAAAACCAAAATTCCTCTCTGTACACATCCCCCAATCTATTCTTTGTGATGTCTTTCCCACTTCAGTCAGCAGCCATTCTATTGTTCTGTGCTCAGACCAAAAACCATGGTGACAACCTTTACTCCCATCACTCCACACCGTCTGTTAGCAAATCCTGTCTTCCACCTTCAGAATGTCTAGAATCCAACCCCTTGAACAGCTTCCACCAGTTCCAGTCAGATTCAAACCTCTATCAGAACTTACCTTGTTATTCCAAGAGCCTTCGAGCTGGTCTTCCCACTTCCACCCCTGCCCCTTCCAGTCTATTCCCACTGAAGCAGCCAGAGATCAATCATGTCACTTTGCCTCACCAGAGTCCCGCTTTATTCAGGACAAAAGCCAAATT